GAGAGTCCAAGTTGTCAGGTGTAGGAAAGAGGCGCAGTTGTGCATTGGAGAGATGCAGGACAAGGTGCTCTCTTTGGTTCTTGACATTGGAGGACTGAAAACCGAAGTGGAGGCCTAGCCAGTCGAGGAGATCGGAGTCCGGATTCCAGGACAAGAATTGTGGCGGGCGGAGGTCACCAACTGCGTGCAGGGCGGCAATGGCAAGCCGGACCTGGGGAAACCGGCGGCAGGGATGATCAGCGGAGAAGTTGTCTAGTGGGATAATATTGTAAACCTCTTCGGATACTGCAGTATCATCATTTTGGCGATTCATCATCAAGTTCAATTCTTTGTGCTGATCATGCTTTGGCATAAAAAATATTTACGTGCTAGGAGCCTAGGATTGTGGATAACTTTAGAGACGACTTTGCGTAGAGAGTGACAAGTTTAAAATTTTAAATTGAAGGTTGGTTGGCCATTGAGTTCACAAGAAACTTCTTGTGTAATTTTTTGCATTTATTTGTCAAATTGTGCTGTCAATAATTTTGGCGTTAGTTAATTTAATGAATGGCGACCAAACCTTGCTATAGTTACTACTTGTTCATCGATGTTTAAAAAATTACTCGTTGATCACTGCACTTTATTATATATTGCTACTTGTTTATTGAAATTTAAAAGTTTACTCGTTGCTCGTTTAAATTTGAACAAAACTACTCACTAATCACTAAATTTTGCTATAGGTAACATTGATAAATGATATGGGTCATTAATAGATAAATTTATTAAAATTTGAGTGAGTAATGAGTAACTTTTTAAATTTAGATTAGTAAACAATAACTTATAGCAAAGCTCAATAAGCAAAGAGTAACTTTTTGAATTTCAATGAGCAAATAGTAATCTACGATAAAGTTTAGTTACCATTGACTAAATTAACTCGTTAGTAAAAAGTATAAATTGTATAATATTTGTCTCGTCTCATATAATTACAATATAAAAATTTCAGCTAACTTAAATAAAAATTAATTGCTAAAAACTATGGACCGATCCATTTATTTTAATTATGGACTAATGTGTGTCCTTCAGAAATGTTATAGAATGGAATGCTATGATACCAGTTTGTTGTAAAAAGCGAAAATGATATCGAATTAGTCCAATACTGAGTTGTTGGAGAAAATAAGATATTAAGCCAAAATATGAAGTAATTGATCACAAAAATAAAATAATTTGCAGAGAATTGATATTTTATTATAATATGGAGAGAGAATACAAAAATTATGTATTTACAATATTTCTAACTTCTTTTGTAAATCATAATGAAGAGTCAATCATATATAGGGAACAAATAAAAGACGTTCAAACCCATAATTGAGCTGTAGTTGAAGTAGAATGCAAAAAACAGAGTCCAAAATGAAAAAGATCGTGCAAGAACAAAACAGGTAGGGCGGCGCCACCTCTAGCCATGCCGACTCTTCTGCCAATTTTGCGTCTCCTTCCAAAAGTGTTTTTCTTCCTCCCAAAGTTCTCTTTAAGTTCAACACAAATTCATACTATCAATGAATTGCCAAATATAACTTCAATTAGAATTCATCAAATAAACTTGAATGTGATTTCAAAAATAGCATTCCAAATAGAATTTTTCTTAATGTACACTTTAATTATAATTCATAATAATCTTTAACAGCTAATTCGGATCACACCCAAATTCTAATAATCTTCACTTGGAGATAAATTTCACTGTAAGGAATAAATTTGAACACTTCAATGAAAAACAAAAACAAACTTTTCCATCAGTAATTCCAATTGAAAAAAATTCTCCACCTCTGCTATCCCAATTAAAGGCAAAAAATGATATAATGACCATCAAATAAGACTGAAACAAGCCTTGTAATAGAATCACAATTAAATGCATCAAAAAAAGGATTTTGGCTAGAATCAACACTCTTAAGCACATTCAAATCATCAACAAAATTAGCAAAATTGTACCTATGTAGAATCTTTTGTCAAAAAATGGGTCTATTTCTAACAATTGAATGCGATGACACAATCAATAATTGTGACAAGACGGATTTACCCATATATTCAAAATTCGGTTGAGATGTACGCGCCCCGCCCCGCCCCGTCTCGTCTCTGGTCTTAAGGCGGGGCCCTGCCCAGAACCGACCCGTGAAGAATAAAAAAAAAAAATTTAATTAACTACAAATTACAAAAGCACAACGAGCAATCCTAAATCTTCATACCATCTCCCTCCCCCCCCCCCTCACGACTCGCCCACAGTCTCTTATTTATCCTTGACTATGGGCAGTCTATCCCACACCCCTAGGCCCCCTACCCATCGCCACCTAGCTATGTCAACAATTCGAGTTGAGTCGAAAAAAAAAAGCTCGTGCCGAGCCCGAGTTTTTTTGGGTCGAACCTAGCAAAACTCGGCCAAAAAAATGAGGTTCGACTCGAGCTTTCGGCCCGAGCCTGAGCGGGCCGAGCTGACTTGGGTTTTTTGGTTTTTTTAATTAATTGATGCCTTTGCAGGCAACTAAAATAGCTGCCTACAAAGGCAACATGTTGCTGCATGTTGTTGTTAGGCAGCTCTTTAAAAAAAAATTCATTTTAATTTTATTTTTTTTAAATAACGGGCAGGCTCGCTCGGGCCATGGGCCGGCCTTGGCTCGAGCTGACTCGGCCCGAGCCTCGGCTCGGTTCCATCGAGCCCAAGCCCGAGCTAGAACCAGGCCCGACTTGGACATTTTCCGAGCCGAGCCCGAGCCGTTCGAACCAACGAGCTTTTTTGTCATCCCTATCGTCCTCCTCTCTCCGTCTCCTTCTAAAACACACAAAGATAATAAATGAATTATATTTTCTTGCACAGAATTATTGTAATAAAAGAATCACAATCTTATACTCCAGCTGCATTGCTAGTAATATTGAACGGTAAGAGGAATTGTTTACATACACACTTGTGCGTATCTCCCTGTGTGTGTTTGATCTTTCCGTTGCATTGATTTTTTATTAGATAATGGCGTCACGAGGAGATTGAAACTTCACTGACTTTTGCTTTCATATTGCTCAGCATTCTGCTAATTTTTTGTTTAATTCCATCTTTCAGTTTATTTTTCCCGAGTTTGATTGGTAGAGTAAATTTTATTTAATCATTTTTCTTTTTCAATATTGTCTGAAATTCACAGTTGTGCCTCCTGGCTTCAGAGGTCTTGTTAATCAAGTTTTACTTTGGTCAAAAACTAAAATAGTTTTCTCTTTATTCCCGTTGATGATCAATACATTTTTCCTTTGATTTCAATTTTTTTTTTTTTTGAAGAATTTTTTGAGATATTCTATGTAATGCAGTTCTTTTATTCTTAATATACGAATCTAGTTTTTCAAGAGATATGATTAAATTTACAATTTATCGCCATATTAGTTTTTCTCTGTAGTTTTTGGTGTGTTGAATTTGACAAAGGTACGAGTATTTATTTCTGTTATGAGAAAATATGTCGTTCACAAGCGTTTAGGTTCACATATTGAGATTGATGCTTGCTCTGGGTTCCAATTTCATGATTGATGGCCTGATTACTGTACACTTCATTGAGTATGATTTGAAGTTTTTATTTATTTTATCCTTGACTATGGGCTGTCTATCCCCACATTTGGATAAAATTCATTGTATTTAATGTCATTTGTTATTTGCACAGATGTCTTGTCCAAGTAGTGCAGTTAATGCTGTCTTGTCCAAGTAGTGCAGCTAGTGCTAGAAGTATTGGATTAGGACCAATACGTGAGGAAGATAGCACGACCAATGTACCGGTGAACGATGTCCCACAAGAAGATCTAGCTGAACCGTTACGAAATGCAAATGAAAGGCCAATAAACCTACATGACGAGGAGCGTGATATTGGAAAACCATCTTTTGGAAAGAGGAAATTGACTTCAGTTGTTTGGGAGCACTACCAAAGACCAAAAAATGGTGAGAAATGGAAAGCTATTTGCAATCATTGCAAGAAACAGTTAGGGGATGACACCAAAAATGGTACAAAGCA